CAGTCCCAAGCGGGCATGATGCCGGGGCCAATCTTAGGCCCGGTTTGAACGTCGAATTTCACATGTGCCGAACTTAATGCGAGAGTTGAATGCATGCAAAGTGCGACGTTTGAATCAATTAAATTCGACTGTTCTAACTGTTCCCATCTTGGAACAGATAATATCCACGGACAAATATCCATGCCTATTTTCGCGCCAAATACAAGCTATTGTTTGTATATCATATAAAGGCTGATTGCTTGAATGAGTCATTAGTTTTTCATTCATTTGCTATGCAGTATGAATTAATGAAAATATTGTTCTACAACCATCAAGATTTTACTCATTTCGGAGTATGAACAAACAAGAACAAGCATGGCAGTCACCACTCATTACTTTTTGAGGTGATAGAGCTTGAAATTCAGTAGTTCTAGGCATACCATGTCGGCACGCTTGCAGCCTCAGGAAGATGTGAGTGGACTCCCCGCACGTCTCATTAGGGGGTTTAGGAACCTTAAGCTACCACGACGGCAACGTCAATGAGGACTTGGAAAAACAAGAGGTCTAATTGGCAGAACAATAGCTCAACACGTGCGTTTTGAAACTTTTTACATTTCTTAGCCGTCCTATGCAAAACAACAACGTGAAATCGCCAAAATTTGCGTCGCCTGCGAGCCTAAACCGTGACGGCAAATTAATGTAATTTCCATTTGGAACTCAACGCTACTTCTATAAGTCATGCTGAAGTTGAGCTGTGGCGCCGTATGAGACAATAAGCTGATGCAGCCATTTTTGAAATTCTGACTAAGAGTAGAAATTAATTTTTTTAATTGAAGTCTTCCTTGGCGTTGCCGTCCTGACTCAGTGCTTAAGGTCCCTTTTAAGAAAGAACGACGGCGACGCCGTGGACAACGTCGCTTAAAAAATAAACCTATATTTTACCTACGAGTCCCGCGATACTCTAAAGTCATTTAGTTTGTTTCTCACGGTCAAAACTATCTCGAAACTGAAAGTGGAACACAGCCTTAAATAAGAAAAAGAAATTTAAAAATCAGCTGTTGCCGTTCACGTTCTCCAGACAACGCAACGTTTGGTAATTTCATACTGCTGTTTTGTAGAGAGCGCAAACTGAAGAAAACTACAGATTTATAGCGCACGTGCACAGCCATTGTTCTGCTGATTTAACCCTTTTGTTTGGTGATGTTCCCGTTGCCGTCGTAGTTATCTTAAACTCCCTATTATATTCAGCCGGGTTTGAAAGTGAAAGGCCCCACGGCTTTTGCTGAGTTTTTTACATTTTGTATTTGAATTCCAGAAAAATGAGCAAGGAAATGCAAGACTTTTTATATTCACACTACGACCGTGAAAGCAAACCTTGGAACGTATGGAAGACAGTCCGGAAAAGCCAGTTAGACCAGTTTGACGTGTCCGACGATGATTCGTCTTCCGAAGAGGAAAACGAGAAGCTCGCGAAGTTTCTAAAAAACTCGAAGTCGGATCGTCGGAAAACATTCGAGATGTGGTTAACCGATAAAGAGGCACAGCAGATTAGAAGACAGACAGCACTGGCCGGAATGGCAAAACAAGAGGCCATTAGGAAAAGGAAAGAAGGCCACTGGCGCCAGATAAATGGCAAAACACATCAGGAGTGGCTCGAAGAGTTGAGAAGCGACAACATGAAAAGCCGAGAACCAACCGAGGGCGAACAAAGCGATGAACGAAAGGTCGAAGCGATACGAAAATATCAGGAATGGTTACGAGCCAAGGATGAAGAGGCCTTAAAACGCGAGGATCAATTAAGGAAAGAGGCAGCTGCTAAGTTTACAGAATCACAACAGAAACGAGACGAAAAATTGCAACGCGCGTGGTTTAAGAAAAAACTGTTTAGTACATCCTGAGCATTTCACTCCAATGAGTATGTTTAGCTGTAGGCGTGGGGTCATTGTGCGATACCGTAGTCGTTATGTTAGTAATGAGCTGTAATATTAGATATTAGGCGATTAAGTTAAACTAACAGTTCATCGTTGGAACAAGAAAGCAGTCTTGAGGATTTCAAAATGACCCCTATAAGCAAATTGAGATCATCTAGAGAAAGGTCGGGCCAATCATTTCAAGTTTTACTCTTAGATAATCACCCTAATCTTCTCAACTTTACGAACCTAGAACCCAAAACTTTTAGATCCTCTGTACTTTCAAAATTGACATCGTATCGTCAACTGTAAAAAAAAAAAAAAAAACATTTAGAGCCAATTTCAAACCATTTTGCCATAAGACAATACAAATTGTTTGTCTTAAAAAATTTGTAGAAGCATGTTCAACTTACACAAGTATGTATTAAAACAGTGGATAACATTGATAACGCGCTCTGATTGGTTACTCAAACTCCGTATATCCTTTGTTCTTCACCTTCAAGCAAAGCACGCGGAATTTACACCCGAAAATATGGTAATCGTTGCAAGAATAAATGATCCAAAATCACCTCAGTGGATTGTGCAAGCAGTGGATATTTACATGGCCATTTTGGTGTCTTCGTAAAATTCACCATTAGCCACCTCCACCGAAGTGGATAGTTCTTCAGATATACTTCGCAAGAAAAGAAACATTTACGCAAATAACAAGAAACATTTCATTAAAAATCCTTTTATTACCAATTTATTAGACCTTCAAATATGCAAATATAAATTAAATATGCTCTTTTGAATGAATTACCTATATCATATTTTTTCCTGTCACCTTCTTCTAAATGAATTTTTTTTCATGCAGTTAATTTTTTTTTTCCATTTCCATCAATTTCAATTTCATTCAGGTCAATGGTTCAAAATTATATTATGCAAGCTCATCAATTAAATAATTCAACAATTGTAAAATGAGGAAAATTTGAAATTCTGCCTAGGATTACCATTGAATTGTACGATACGAAATGGTACCATTAATAATGAAAATAGACTACGATTGCAAAATACATATCTTCATCATACGAAAATCGTACTATTTCTAAATTACAATACGCGATCATGACAAAATTACTTGATTTATGTTAGTCATTTCTATATGTTGAATCTTAGTCCCTTAGAATGTTAATAATCTTTCGGATTAATGTTAGTATCAAAGCAACCACGCATCCACCCCTCCCCTGACCCAACAACAGCAGTTAAATGATAACAAGTTAGAGTTAATGCTGGGTCGGGGGGGGGGGTGTTAGGTGCACATTTGCTCAGATACTCACATGGATTTTATCTTTCCATTTAGACTTTTGTATGGTGCAAATTGATCAACAAGAACTAGGAGGTCTCCACAAATCGTCTTCCAAATCTTTGTTGATATTGTGCACAGAAACAGGATATGAACTACCGGCGACGTCAATCTCAAAGCGTCCGTCGTCTACTATAGCATCCAGTTCCTCTCCTTCTAGGTATCCTAAACACACTGGAAGATCCAGTTTAAAGCTGTGACAGGTACTTGTCGTGGACCCGATCATGGAGCCATTTCTAAGAATCGGCTCCCCTCCCCACGGGTAGTTGTCGTCGTCGTGTTCTTGAAGAGCAATTTGCACAAGATGCTTCTTTGCAGGTTGTTGATCATCAGCTAAAAGGGCTTGTTTTCCAAGGAAATTGCATTTCTAGGATAGATATATTGGGAAATACAAACGGTTGGCTTAGCCGAAAAGCACAGAAAAATTAATCAAACGCCAAGAACGTTCGTGGATGGTCTCAATGGAGTTAACCGTCAACAGTCAACCAAATGGCCAAAATATTAATTGCCAACCGTCAAATGGCCAAAACATTAACCACCAACCGTCAAAGACACAATATTTTTACCGTCAACCGTCAAATAAGCAAGCCAATGTTAGTCGTCAAATTTCTCAGGTATCTTTAATTAAGAACTAAACGATTGCCTTTATTGGGGTCGATTTCTGTTGTTTATGAATAAAAGTTTTGATATATAACAAAAATACATTAATGTAAGTACTTTAACTTTAGTCGCGAGTAAATTTTGTTAACGACAGAACTGACCTCCGGTGTGGAAATACTTCCGGTGTCGTAAAACGTTACTCCTTTATCGATAAAAGGTGTTATTAATTAACAGTTCTTTACAAACGCGTCATTATGAAACATTACAGCCAAATTCGCGCATTAAGTTCGTTTTATAAACGACACTCTAATACTTAACCGTCAACCGTCAAATGACCTAAAATTTAAACGTTGACCGTCAAAAGGCCTCATTTTTAACCGTCAATCGTCAACGTAAACCTCCCCCCCCCAATTGAGACCCTTTTTAAAAGATGTTTGAGTTTAAAGGGATAACCATATTCTCCTCCGTTGACTTTCTCTCTTCATCATGCAGTGGAGCGTTCGCAGTGTTTTCGCACACCGACTCACGTTTCGATTGAATTAGAATAAGACTCTCTCTAACCAATACTACCAGGGAATTTAAGGAGATGGCATCTGAGCTAAGATTACAGTGGAACAAAGAGAACGAAGAGACAAAATACAGGAACAGAAATTTTCCAAGCAACTAATACACATTGCACAAACAGGAACTTCAATATTTCTTGGAAGAAGATAGTCTAAAAGTAGCTGGATCGGTTCGCTCGTGGAGAGGAGTTTGTAGGTTACGGTTTCCATGGTTACCTTATTCAGTTGCACTCTGTCCATCACCCCAGCCTCCCTTGGAGTTACGAATGACGTCATCTCTTTTCCCATCT